ACATCTAAGTAAGAATAACTTTATGTAAGGTTTAACAGACTGCATGGATATCTCTCTGAAAGAGGGCACCCATGATTTACACTAGCATATCTGACTAATATGAATTTGTAAATCAATAAAATTGTTTGAATGTTTACTACAGAAACTCTGACTGTCAATCACTGTCCCTGCAGATTGCATAAATATGTTCCCGATCTACAATTTAATATACTAAACTAGGACTAGTGTGTGGGTGTGTGCTTGTGTGATTAAAGTGACTATTGTACACTTTGGTCTTTGTGCTTTGCAGTGTGAGTGTAGGTGATAGTTCAGCCAACCAGCCAAAAGAATGTTTTCTGCCTCAGTCGCCCAAACCCTACTGGCAGCAGAATGTCGATGGTGGACATCGGACAATTCTGTAAAAGCCCAATTATGTTAAAATATGAAAATACTAAAATATCTTTCAGCATTCAATGCCAATGGTTAAAGAAATATTGTGGTTAAACACACACATACACACAAAAAAGACAACATCACCACTCTAAGCACACTTCTTCCTGAACATTACCTTGGGAGTTAAATCATGCACTACAAAAATGTCCAATATGAATGGCATACTGGGCTGAGTGGCTGCAGCTACTGCACAAGCAGGAGTGGAAAATACTAAATAAATGTGTTTTACTTTTTATTTATACAGGACCATACATGGTATACTTGCTGTATCATTGATATAGTCCATGCATTTTTGTATTTCATCATATTTTGTACAGTAGAAATGATGTGATGAGGCCAGGTAATGTGTGGGCCTGCTTTCTAACTATCAATAACCCAGCGGTCTACTTATTTAAAAGCAATGACTTCAGTAAAATTAGTTTTTCCAAGTTAGCAAACATACCTGAGCCCTCAGCGATGTCCATGCTGTGACCAGGAGTGTATTCAAAGCCACACAAATTCTTTGACACCATAGTGTATCTTTCATCCTCCTCCTCATCCTCGTCTTCATCAGAAAGGAGAGTGGCTCCCAGATCAGAGCCCAGTGTACCAGACATGAAGTCTATTGGAGGAATGGTGCTGGTGTTGGACATGTTTGGACTGTTCTTCATGTGCCTAATCAATTAATGAGCAAAATCAATTTAAAAAAGAAATGGAGGTCAGATAATTACTACACATTAAGTTTCTGAATGCAAAATGTGTGCATCTGAAAGGTAGAGATGCAAGGTGCAGAGAATATAAATGCCCGCAGTGATTTCACTGATTGCTTTCTCACTGGTGGCGTGTGTTGTGCTAACACAATGGAGTTGTAATTGGACTTGATAAAGGATATCTGGATGGGCAGAGCTGTCACCAACATGCATGTTATCTCCTCCACAGCTGTCCTCCATGATGGCTCACATCCCACCATAGTGGAGATGCATGCATAATTACCAACTCTATTTACTGATGTCAGCACAGCATGTTAAATTAAACCCAGTTATTACCCTCAAACACATGTCACCACTGACTTGTCAGGCTTCAAGTTTTCCAATGATCCATCAAAGGTGTAATCAATGGAGTGCTCTTTATATGGCTCACAAGAAACATGAACTGCAGGTTTAAGCTGACAGATGTAAATACCAGAATTATAAGATGCTCAACCACTGTGAGCAATCCAAATGTGACACTGATTGTTTTTAACTAGAAAATGCATCAATTATAGAAGGAAGGTGGTCACAAAATGTAGTTACTTGGAGCTTTAAATGATCCTTACCAAGCCTGCTTGGCCACCTCATATTGGTAAGCTCTGGTCAGCTCATCCAAGTGGGCCTGCAAAATGGATTGCATTTCGTCATGGCGGGCAGAGCTGAGAGAGGAGGACATGGGCTGGCTGAAGGGAGCTCCTGCCGGGGAAGTGGATCTTCCTCTCAGGGGAGGAGTGGGACCTCTCTCCTCCTCTATCTCATTGTCCAAATTCTGGTGGTGGTAGGTCTGGAGAGACATGGATGGTGCCCAGTTGTTGCTCTCATATCTGGCATGTGGACAAAATGGTTTTTGTGTTAATAAACATTTTGACTTTGCTAATTAGCTGATTGCATATTTATGTTGAAGAAAACAGGAAATATGTAAGGATTTTAAAATCCACACACAATTATTCTAACAACAAACACATACTCAGTAGCTTAAGATAAATCTGCCGAAGCTGATCTTACGTCTGTTGTAATGGATCAAAATTGCCATGATTTTTTTTTCCAGTGCAAAGTTACATGTGTGTAATAGCTTAATACAAATCTATTTTTCTCTAGCTTTGATATTTCAGAGCCGGAGGTCTATTTAAGAGTTGTGTGGATTGTGCAAAGCTCTTGTCAAAGCTTTCTCCTGAAAGCCACCAACACTCTGTGACCTCTGTGGGTGTGTGCGTTTTACTATCCACATGTATTTTTGGGTTTGTGTGTTCCAGTGCAGAGACCGATGAGATATGAATGTATCTTACCCTCCTCCGTGGTTTTCCTCAGGGTAACGGTCAAGGTCAACCTCAGTACCGGGGAGTGGGTGCATAGATGGTGGAGGCAGGGGCATGTTAGCCCAACATGTCCCATTTGATTTAGAGGTCTTTGTTCCACCCTTCACCTTCTTTTTCTTTCCAGCCTTTGCACCTGAGGGTAGGAAGGATAGAAGGAAGTTTAATCTTCTATTTAGAAGAAATCCCTGTCCACACTACCCACAAATATTATTCTACACTAGATTAACACACACTAACACACATATACAGTACTTCCTTAAAAGCTTTTTCTGCTATCTGAACTTTTTCCAAACCTGTCTCCCACCCAGTGTTCATCATTTCTTTGTTTCTGTGTGCTGATTGAATGCTGATATTTATTAAAGAGCCATCAAAACTTCCAGCAGACCACTTTCTATACAGCTCCCCCAGTTTCTCTGCTTTATCTCCTGAAAGTCTGATATTTACTGGAGCTCAGCACACAGCTCAAAAACATCCTAGGTACAGACAGAAATTCCTCCATGTCTGAACACTGAGGGATTTTACGCCAGCACTAATCAAATTAACCCATACAAATGTGTCATTATTGTGTGACATTTCTGGGCTACATAAGCTCCCAGGGTAGAACTGTGATGAAGACAGAAGAATAATTAACAACATTATCCTAAGGGTCTGTTTTCAGTG